ATAATTGATGATTAGTATTTAGCAGAGGCAGGTCCAGCCATTTCAGAGATACGGAGCTTAATGTGCAAAAAGTGGCAGTTTTTGATAGAACTAAGAATCCGATTTGGATGATTCATAAAACATTTTGCTTGTGTTGACACAACAATTGTTTTTGGAAAAAAAATCAAACTATTTTTTTAAACTAATTTGCCTTAAGGCACGATGCCATTCACCACAAGTTTCCTTCTACTTTAATGTAAGTAGCCAATAGATTTGTCCAAACTATGTTTATATACTAAAGAAATCATTCACAAGCTTTATCAAAAATTTTCTACATTCACGTATTTCTTTTGTCAAAAAATTACACAAATAAATACATAAATTTTTTAATAAATTTACATGATATAAATTCATATATTCAAACGCTATGAATCTCTAATCTTCATATAATATATGATTTTGATGTCGCTTATTAAAAATATTAACAATAATTATATTTTTTAAAAAAAATTGTTATCATTATTTTTGCTGTTATGCGTATGTATGCATGAAGGGAGGTACATATATTTTTTAAGATGAATTGATTTATTAAAAAGTAGAAATTTTTTTATATAAAAATAAGTAATTTAGTGAAAATGACCATATTTTTAAACTTACTAAAAACATTAATATAATGACATGATAATCGATAGAATCGTATGCATTAGAAGATAATCATTCTGCTTCTGCTTTTGTATAAGTAGCCAATAGATTAGTCCTAACTATGTTAATATAGTTTAGAAATCATTCACAAGCTCTATCAATTTTTTCCTACATTCACGTATTTCTTATGACAAAAAATTAGACAAGTGTATAAAATCTTTAACTAGATGAAGATCCCAATTGCCAAGGCAAGTTGCTTAACTTTCCGACTATCAGAACTTAGCTTAGATTTTGCTATTTAGATAAAAAATCACTTTTTATTTATAAAAAACTTCCGCTTTTACTAAAAACAATGTCAATACGATTTGTCATTACGATACTGATGTTTCAAACTTGATATTGATGTTTCAAACATGTAATTGAATAAATTATAGTGCACATAAAAGAGTTTGTATGTTCTGAAAGCGTGGCTTCTACATAATTCGCGATTATTCTAAAATATAATGAATTTATATCATTTATAATCAATTGGAAATCGCATTAATTAGATTTTAGTAAAAAGTAAAATGTTGATATTTGAAATGAACATTTGAAAACTTTATATAAAAAGCTATTAATCTGAACCCATGCTGATTATTTACACGTATCGAGAGTTCATGCATAACCTTCCGCTTATCCGAAAGATACAGATTTTAAGGGGTGGCCTGCTTGAGAGGCTCAAATAAAATCGATCTTTTTTTTACAAAAATGTCTACCAAAACTAGCCAAGAACACATCCCTAAATTTTCAAAAGCAAATTCAAATTATTTTCGGAATTCTACACTTTTCAAAAAATAAAAAGTGAAATTTTGTATAAAAAAAACATGATATTTTTTCAAGTTGCAAAAAATTGGTGAATTTCTCATTTTTTTCTAGATTTTTTGAGTTCAACTAGAAGATATATTGAAAATATATATTATACTATTATTTTACTAGCGCCCCCCCCCCTATAATTTTAACCAGTTTATCATTAAAATTATACAAAAATTTGCATTAATTTTTTAAAATTACTTTTTAATTATTCTGCGTTTAGTACACAAAAAACTAGACATATGTAAGCTAAAAGCGCAAAAATACATTGATTTTAAAATTATGCTGTAGATCAAGGCAATTCACGGATGCTCATAATCAAATGTTTGTGCCTTCTATTGCTTTACAGCACATCCAAAAAAATTTTTGAATAAATTTTAAATTATTTCAAATTTTCAATTATTTCTAACGCATGCGTAATATTACTAGTTGGGTTTTGAAACATTTTATTTATTTATTTTGGGGATTTGTTCTATGCAATTTATTCTATTGAGCAAATCAGAGATTAAAAAAAATTCTAGCCTTTCATTATTAAACTTCGTGCTGGATCACTTTAATTTAATTTTTCATTATTTAAAATATCCAAAATGGCATCGTAAACTTCTCCTAATTGATATCGTAAGAGCCGAATTGTATGCATTCATCTTTACTTTCCCATTTATTGTTTTAAAAAGAAATGTTTAGCGTATTTTAAAAATATTGTCCAAAGATTAGTAAATGATGCAAGGAAAGTATATATTTATTGAATCATATAGAAAAAATTATATCATAAATTTCATATCCAAATCTGGTTTAGGCGCCATATACGGGGTGTGCCCGCATTTTTAGCATGCATTGCATTTAATGTAGGACTGGCCCTGTCTGCATCTTTCCCGCCAAATGCACCCTCGCGGCGCATCGGCAAATTGCTTGTACCCGGCATATTATGACATATTCTAATAAAAAAAATTGAGAAGAATATTGAAATATATAACAACAAAACCTGAGCGTTTTGTTTCAATTAAATATTTATTTCCTTCCCTAAAAATTCCTCAAAAAAGCGATTTTTTTAAGCCTCTAGAGCAGGCTCTTCCCCTTATACTTATGTGTATTCACAGGAGCCTCTTACTTTTATACTTCTATTTGATGTTTTTGGTGTTTTTACAATGCTGAATTATCAATATTATTTTTATAATGTAGCAAAATATAAATCTTTGCTTTATTTGCTTGACGCGTAGCAATGATGTTGTCCATGTATCTGTCAGACCGGCTGGGTCGATTACATTTAGTAATTTTAGTGTTTGCTCCATTTTTTGTAATATCATGAACTTTTCAATTCAATAAAAGCAATCTATAATTTATCATGTCTTCGGTATTTATTGGTCTACACATGATGTGAATTTGTACTAACCTGGAGTTTGTTGCGCGTTTCTTATACAACGCAACAGCCCATTTGTATGTCAAACCCAAGTTTATTATAACGCGATTAAATATCACACTGTACGCACTCACCGCGTTGTAAGAAAATTGACTGTATACCAACAATTAATAAATCAAATCGAGAACTTACTATTTTATTTGCAAATATTTTCGTTAAAATCACACACACAAACACAAACACGCGCGGCGACCATCGACTCAAACAAAAGGGCACTGGGCAGAATTAACACGACGACGACCGATGACCGACGACGGAGGAACGACAACCTTCCGCTTCAAGTGCTGCCCGATAACTCATTTTGCATTATTTTTGACGATTTATTGACCCTATCTAAGTATTGCCATATTTGGACATAAATCCAATGTATGACGTCACCGCACAAAAGGCGCTATTTATGAATTGAACGCATAATATTGCATTCAAAAAGAAAATTGATGAAATAAATAATATATTAAACTTTGCGCAACGACTTTATTTAAAATTAATAAGCTAGTTGTAGGTAAGTGTCATTTTTTCTTTATAATAAATAATAAAAACTGTTTGAAAGTGGCATTTAGCCTTAAGGCAACTTGCATGAACTTCTCGAAATGTGTAATAAATGATGACTTAATAAACCGAAATTGTGATTTAGATATTTAGATATTTAGATAAAATTTTTAACTATTTATTTCGAAAATAAAGTTAACATAAAATCTAAACAATGCGATTTCCAATAGAATTTTCTCAAACATATTAAATTATCTGTAATTATATTAATTATACTGCACAGACACGTGCTTGTATGTCCTAAAATTGTAGTTTATTATTTTAAATTTTAATAAGTTGATAATGTTTGACTCATCACATCACAAAAGCAATTTTAGACACAAGTTTTGACTATAAAATTTATTCAAATTTTGATGAATTTCTAAAATTCAACTACTTACCGGGAGAAACGTAAAATTTTAGTATGTATGCAGGAGAAAGAAGAAGTACAAAGTTTCATCAAAAATTTTTGTTAACCGTCAATAGCGGAGAAACGGCTCAGACGATCTTTGTCCAAAGCTAATCAACACGACTCCCAAATAATATTTTTTGAATAGTTTTTGAATTTTTAAAATTGATTCTGAATTTTTGGCTAAAACATGGACGGAAATATTTTCACTTTTCTGCTAATTAGAAAAAAAAACGGCTCAGCCGTTCGCAACAAAAATCTAACGTCAACGACTTTGTTGACGTTGGAAACATCGATGAAAGATCTAATTTTAACAATCGTCAGGAAAACGCTACTGATTTTTTCATATATTGATGCATTTTTAACATTAAACTATTTGTAATAGGACCGTAATATTTTAGTGTGTTTTATAATACTGTGATATCTATCTGCAAAAAAAGTTTCATGAAAACCGGTAAAAGATTTTTTTTTGAAGTAGATTTGTAGATTTTTTTCAACCTTTATATTTTTCCAACTAATCGGTATCATTCCCAACCAATATCTTTCGAACGATTTGTGATTTTTTAAAATCGATACAGTATTGTGATTTAAAACGCAAACAAAAAGTTTTACAATACTATTCAAATTACAAAGAAACGGCATGGCCGATCGTCGCACAAAACTGAGAAACGATAAATTTCATCGAGATACATCAAATGGCTTTTAAATTTTTGATATCGGCTCAGGCGTTTTAGAGTTAACGCCGATAAAATGTCTAATTTTGACAAACGTAGTTTATGTTGATTTATGATAAAAGAATTTATTATAGAAAACATTATATATTTTAATTGTAATAATTATTGTTTGCATTGATATATAAATAATTATATTACTTAGAAAAAAGTTTTTTTGTAAAAAAAAGGAAGAATTTTTTTGCCATTACTATCTGCCTTAGTGGACCCACTACACAAGGTAAGTTGAAACAACTCCCTTTTTTGGAAAACAATTAATTGTGCAGTGTTGAACTACCGTTGTGCAATAATTTGGACTTGCTTTGGTAGAGGAATAGTTACAGAAAATATTCATTTTTATTTCGTAGAAGTATAAACAGTAAATTTCAAGACATATTAGTTTTTACACAAAACTGTTACAACCAGACCCTAGCTCCTCTATACATACAGAATGGAAATAACTTACCAAATCAATGGTCAGCAAAACCGTGAGACTTGCCAAGGAAGAAGGACTCAGCCAGTCCACATTTTCAATTTGAGGACATTCAGTCCCATCATGGTTATACAACGTTGTCGAATTTCCGTGTCCTGTGGTAATGGTTGACCCAGATAAGGAAGTCCCATAACTTAGCCTGATTGTTGTCGTGTTAATGTACTCCGAGGCATTCATAATTAGAACTTTTTCTTTAATTTATAGACATAATTTTTATTAATGCGACATCAAGCCAAAATCGAGGAGGGAACTGATTTATATTTAAAGCATCTTTAGTATACTTTTCTTTAATATGTTTGTTAGGCATATCTTGTATAATATTTTATATACTTTAACATATTTAACACTTAGTTTTGGTTTTACTTGTTGGTGAGTTTTAAAATCCATATTTTTTGTATAGGTTGAGCACACTAATATGAACATATAATATCACATATATAAATATTAGACACACTTTATTTTTATATATTCTACACCATTATTATCATGTTATACTTTAATTATATTTGCTTTAATAAATCCATAGTTTGCTCCAAATTAAACACTTCCATCACAATACCATAAAATTTTTATCACTCCTTTTATAAAAAAGTTTATTTGCCAAAACATTTATTTTTATAGCTCAATTAATTCGCATCAAATATTAATTTGTTACCGCATATTTTAACTCCAATAGTGTTTTGGGTTTCAATAAACAGCAGTCTATAGTTAATTTAAACAATTAGCAAAGTCAGTCGAGCAATAATAGAATTTCAGATTTACATGATTGGTTAATTCAATTATGAAAATTTAATTGGATTGTAGAAATACTACAATATGGTATTTGTATTTCAAAAACAACGCGATAGCTTTTAGAGTAATACATTTATATGCAATAATTTTTTCACAATTATTAGAAGAATTACTTTATTTATATATTTTATTCATTACCACATATTAATTTTTATCTATATTTATGTGTACAATACTTTTAATAATTTCACAAATACAATTGAAATATTTTCTCTGTAAATCTTTGTCACACAAATTATTTTTTATATTATTGTTAAATAAATATATTAAAACTAGTATCACATAAAATTTTATATTTCGTAATGCTCAAAATATTTATATCGAGCAGTATTTCTATACAGATTTAGAATATCCTTTACCAAATTTGCTATAACGTTTCACGTTTTAGTTAAATTTATTATAATACATTAAAATAGTTTAAACTACGTTTTTTATATTTATAATATTTTTGTTTGGTAATTTATCACATCAATATAAATATATATTACATACTATGTTTATAACAGTCTTAATATTATATTTTTTCAAACATTTATTTGACTAGAGTTTGTTTGCACTTTTACTGGGTTCCGTAAAAATCATGTTTTTACACAATCTCATATAAACATATCATTTAGTAAAAAAGAAACTAATTCACTTATAAAATTTAATCACATAAACGAGATTGTTTTTGTAGGTAATTTAATTCATTCGTGTTTTTGGCTATTATCTTTACCATTAGAACATTTATTATATTTCCGAGGCAAATATAATTCAACTCTCTTTCCGAATAACTTAACTTATCCATAATATTGTTTATTAACGCATATTTAGCTAAAATATTATATTTATTATATATTAGCACAAACTTTAATTATTTTCATGCCTCACTCAAGTACTCTAATAGTCAGCAGTTTCTACGTGCTACTCCATCTGAAAATATAAAAAAAATTCATATTATTTTCAAATATAAATTATTTTGTCTTCGTTTGAATATTAACCTTGTTTAATTAATTTTTAAAATAATTAATTTAAATAATTCAACAAAAATAACTTTTACTTATTAATTAACTATTATGCTTATAATACTAACATAGTCTTGTTACTTTAATTTAAATTTAATACCTTAATCATAGAAATTTTCATTTCATAAAATCTAACAAGAGTAACGTTGGCACTAAAACAAAGATTATTATAGATTATACACAGAAATAAAAAAAAAACAAGGAATGTGTTAGAAAAATGAAATGGTTTGGGCAATTGCAGTATTTCTATTTAATATCACTATGCTAAACTAATTAGGTTTATTAGGAAATATTGAATTGTTTGAAGCTTTCATGTTGTTGGGGTAAAAACGACCAATGAAAAATAGCAAACAAATAGATCAAGTTAAAGAAATGCTAGAAATAAATTAAATTATTAGTCATTTCTTCTCTGCTGTTTATTACTGTTTTTCATGAGATACCTGATCATTTATTTCGCATTAGTTAAATAATTTAGCTTTTATTTCGAAAATTATTTTATAATTTAAAGTAAGGCACTGTTTGCCTAATTGCTATATCTTTAGGATAAAAAGGTCTCAGGTGACAGATTTTAAGAGAATAGTAAAAATGAAACATATTTATTAAATTAGGAATTATTGGGAAATTGTATTGTACATAGTTCGATTATAGTTTGTTTAAAACTCGTAAACTGTTGTAATTTAGTTCATTCGGTTTAGACAGTACAACTACTAAAAGTCTAATTAGACCTTTGTGACTTATGGTAATATTGTTTTATGTGTTCTATGTGTTGGTGTGTAAGTAAATTGATTGATTGATTAATTATCAAAATAATTTTTAGACTGGCAAGACATTTTACTCTTGCTGAATTTAACTAAAATAATTTTATATAAATATTGCTAGTAAAAATTATTGTACAACTATCATTTGCAAAAAATATTTTTATTAACTTCCCTTAGGGTAAGTTATTGTAATTGTCCAAAAATTGAAATTGAAATTTTTTCTGAACATTTTGACATACCTCAGAAAAAATGGATGTGTGTGTGTGTTTTGTGTGTCCGCACTTTTTCGTTCACGTTTTCGGGCGCATGTATCAACCGATTTGAATCGTTCAAAAAACATTGGATTCCTATTGATAGGGAGATGTGCTGATTAGTTTTTGGCAAAGTCTAGCAGTTACGGAGATAAAAAGCAAAGAGTGCAAAAAATAGAAACAAAGGTTTTGATGGAACGTAGCATCCGATTTGTATGATATAAAAAACATTCTATCAGTAATGATTGGTTATTGGGTTTTGGCAAAGACAGGCTTAGCCATTTTAAAAATTCAGAGCTAAATGTGCAAAAAATGGCAGTTTTTGAGAGAACTAATTTGAATGATTCAAAGAACTTTCTGTTTGTTTTAACAAAATAATTGATTTTAAAAAAAAATGTTTTAAAATGTTTTTTTTTTCATTTTTTTTTCAAAAAAAAATTTTTTTTGTATATCGAAAATAATTCAGGTTTTATTTTTAATTCTGACTAAAGTCCTAATATACTTTAAACAAATAATTTCAACTTTTAAATTCAGTATATATAATTCAGTTTATATAATTCTTATAAATATTAGACAATGTTACATTATTTATAATAATCTATTTGAAACATTCATTATTCCTCGAACATTTTGTTACGGTACGGAAAGTTCCAGCAATTTGCCTTAAGGCACGATACCATACACTCCACTAGTTTTTTCTTCGATTCCTTAGCTCATTGTGAGCGAGTGCTAATTGCCTAAATCCGAAATGATGCCTGCGTCTATTTCTTACTTGAATAATTAATAAGCTTCATAATTATGCGCTTGGGTTTTAACCTTTTTCCGATTTATTGTATATATATATATATATATATATATATATATATATATATATATCAATGACGTCGTAATAATTCGTTTCCAATGACATCATAACCCATCGGATCGATGCCTGGACGCGCGGCCGCGTTCGTCACGCCAAATGGCGTGCAGGAGGCCCATTTCGGATTTCCTGATGTCGGCAAACAACCGCGTAATTTAAATATTAAACCGCCGGCACCGCCGTGCAGTACACGTGTAGTTTAAATATTAAATCTGAGCAAAAGCGCGCCCCAGCGATGTTTTATATATTCTGCCGCTTGATTCAGAACAGTTTTTATTCGTTTCTATTCCGTATTATTTTTTTCCTAATTCCTTCTTTCCTAAGTTGCCGTGTCGAGGAAAAGTTTACAGAAAACTTATGCGACGATTGACACGGATTTTGTGGAGGTGTCGCACGAATATTTGATGACATTTATGGCGTATTATTCGGAGAATTATTGCTGGGAAATTGACTCAAAATAGAGGATGACTAAGATAAGTAAAAACTTTTACTATTAGATTGACGAACTTCAAAAAACTATGAATATAGTAAATATTTGCTTGAACGCTTTGCTTATAAAAAGTAAGAAAAAAACTAGTTTTGATTGGTATTTTGCCTTGAGGCAAGTTACATGAACTTCCCGATGTATGTAAATAATCGACTTAATTTTAACTAATCAATATAAAATAAATTAATTTATGAGTGATTAGAATTATTCCGAGTAGATTTATTAAACATAATTGAAAACGAATGAACACGTTAACACGGAGTATTAAATAAAAGCAAATTTTCACTAATCAATAATTTTCATAATTGGACCAGTTTCCGTAGGTCTTTAATGGTTTAGTATATTCATTAAGACCAAGTACTCTATCGTCATATCAAGTAAATTGTCTAATTTTAATTTTAACGAACGTCAAAGAAACTACTCATTTTTTGATGAATTTTTAAAATTAAACTACTAGTCGTAAGGCCGTAATATTTCAGTAAGTTCTACAAGATCATGGCGATATATATTGCCAAAAAATATTCCATAAAAATTGGCTTCAATTTTAGTATGATCTATAAGACTATAGTATCTACAGTGAAAAAAAAAGTAAAAATCGTGGGATTTTTTTAACACTTTATTGCAAGAAAACGACTCGTTCGCGATCTTTACCAAAAATTAATTAGCACGATTCCTAACCAATATCTTTCGAACGGTTTTTGAATTTTTACAATTCAGAATTGCGGGCTAAAACATGGACGAAAAATATTTCACTTTTTTGCTATATATAAAGAAACGGCTTGGTCGATCGTTGCACAAAACTGACAAACAATAGCCCTTATCAAGATACATTGCACGGCTGTTAAATTTTTGCAATCGGTCTAGCTGTTTTTAAAAAAACATCGATTTATGGTAAAAAATCTGCTAACACACACACATACACACATGTACACAAACACATACTTTTTCCAAATTTGGTCTCATTTGATTCAGAATGGCTTAAAATGTCGATAAAATTAGCGATTCGGAGTTTTTTTATGAAAA